AAAAACGTAACTTATAATCAAATATATTATAAATCCACAGAAAATGATTAGTTATCCAAAAATTATCACTTTTGATTTTCTTAAAATCTTTCTGTTTGTTTATATATTGTTCTATATATTTGTATGAAATTTCATATTCTATTATAGAAAATACGAGATAAAACCACCACCAATATTATCATCATAATGATGATAATAATTAATGATAATACTAATAATAATAGTGAAAATAGTGAATCAATTTAACGATTATAATAATTTGAAATTATTATACATACACACAAAAAGGTTCCGAAGTACATACATAGCTTTTTCAATTTGTACTATTTCCTTCGTTATTATTAATATTACAAGTTTAATACTATTGAGATTTTTATTTGCTTCCTTAATTACTAGTTTGGTGATTCTTTTCTGGTTCTGAAAGGTGAATTTTATATGTTATTGGATAGAATTAATTGGGAAAATTATATGTATAACAACAGTACATTTTTATTTGAAATTATATGTTTAGTTCATCAGTAAAACATCAAAATTTGCGAGAATCTACGTGTAGGCGGTGTGGTGTGAAGTGACGAGGAAATGTTAATTTTTCAAATAAATAAATAGGAGAGAAATAATTACTACTAAAAATTATCTTTGAAATTAAATTTTATTTATTTTCTGGGACTCTCAATCTCTTCAACAATATCCCAAAGCTCTCTCACAATACGAAGCTGACTTTGTTTAGCATCCGTATCGCCAGCACTTGGGGAACATCCACGAACTGCCAAGTATTTACGCCCAAGGATGTTCACGGGACTTTCGTCGGGACCGTTGCCACTGACTACTATACCGCCAGCTTCTTGACAGATTACAATTCCTGCTGCTACATCCCTAAATCGTTCAGTCGTATTATTATTCTATATTGAAGGATAATAGCATATAAAGTTCAGATCGGGTTAAAATTCATACCATTCCCAGCACCCAATCTCCCAATAAAGATCCGCATCACCTCTAGCAATATAACAAAGATTCGTAGCCGCACTACCGAAACACCGTATCCCGTGCACAAGTCCTGCTTTTTTCGTACTACTACTCTGTCCAGGCTGTGAAACCATATTATGAATTGACTTGATCTTTTTATCGATTATTGATGGTGATCGGTCGCTTCCAATTTCTGTCACGACGAGGCATTGGGAAAGGGTGGGTGGTAGTGGAAGCGGGTTGTGTGGATGCGAGAGGGGAAGACGTGTTGTGTGATTTAAGTAGGCGCCTTTTCCCTTTATTGCTGTGTATAGCTGTTGTTTCGAGAGAAGATTTTTTGTTAAATAATTATCAAGTCATAAAACCTATTAATTAGATTATTCTAAAGAATCCATACTTCGTTCATAAATGGGTTATATATCACGCCAACTACGGGTTCTTTGTTTATTGCCAAACCGATCGAGATTGCAACAAAAGGGAGTCTAATAAAAATGAATGATCTTAGATTCATATCGATGATACTTTCGTCTTCCTTATTTAATAGGAATAAACATCCGATTTCTTTTTACCCGTGAACGAAATTCATGGTGCCATCTATAAAAATCACCCAAAAATATGAAACATGATCTCATAATCTATAATAATAATGATACTTAAATGAAATAATAGTGTCTTTTGTGTATATACCAATTGGATCGACTATCCACGTAGGGTCATCGGTCAATTTACATTCTATGCCAGCCGCAACGGTCTCTTCGCCAATAAATCTTTGTTAATTTAATCCAATAAAACAGAGATGATTATGAGTAACATCGAATCACAATCATGTTATCTCTCATTCTCCCCCCCCCCCCCAAAAAAACATTATTGTAAATAGATAAAAACAAATTTACTCACTTATGTAAAGGAAACTCTTTACTGATTCTATCAAGCACAATTTCTTCAACTTTTCTATCAGTTTCGGTAACCAAATCTGTTGGATTTCCGTGTTTCTCAAGTATGTTGTTGTCGCTTCCTTCTTCAACTTTACGATACCGAGCTTTTGAAGCGTCGCGTATCACTTTTCCGCATTCTTCGGCGAGCTTTATAGAGAAAGCAAGATAATTTTCTAATTCTATTAAACGAACAAATCGGTATCCACCGATAATTCATATATACGTCTCGGAAGTAAATAATGAACGTAATGTAAAACAAAGATGTTACCGGTATCTGACATTTTTTTTCTTAGACAATGTTAAATTCGCATGCACGTAGAAACACACTATTTTTTATTTCATCGATATTACACAAGATACAAAATTCCTCCTGAAACGAAAGACGGGTCTGTATTTAGTTGGATTCATTTAAATTTAGAATAATTTTTCTCCTTGCTCATATTGAGAGGTTTTGCCATTCTTTTTGCACTCTCATAAGAATAAAGATTGGAAATGATCGTGCCTTAATGATTTTTCGATTCGGTCTTTTTAATATCCGAACTTTTAACGTATATTTTGTCCTTACAAGCAAAAATTTAACGTTGATTATTTTAGCTTTCTTCTCCTTACCAATTTATAACTGGCTCAAATATCTGATGGTTTGAGACAATTTATTGAATACAGCTAATATTCATCAATTTTAAAAATGCTACCACTTAAACCACAATGGCCATCATCATACCAAAACCAACAATCACCACTACATTCCTTTTCGCAATTCTACTATTAACACTAAAATTCGTGACAATTCCACCCGCCGCCTCACAATACCGTCATGCATTCAATGTCAAAAGACTACGATTCTGTATTCTCCCGTCAAAATTCCGCACAAATATTTCAAAACATTACCGCTCCTCAACAATCCGTGTTTGCGTGCGGTGATTATTTTTTGAAGCCGTACTCCGTATGTTTGGATTGTTTTCGGCAAAACCAAACGAATACGGTATTGAACACGCTGGTGCCGCCAGCTGCTGATGCCATTCGTAGCGCGTGTAGGTCGGTGAGTGCTATTGCTGGGTATGACGCCACGAATTCTGTTAATGGTGGTGTATATACTGGCGGTGGTGGTAAGCTTTTAATCAAAAGTGATAATTTTTGGATAACTAATCATTTTCTGTGGATTTATAATATATTTGATTATAAGTTACGTTTTT